TTGGACAGTTCAAGTTACGAATGTATCATGAAAATGATGCAAGCATCGTCTCATGAAAACAAAATGACAAAAACTGAAGATTGGAATTATTCTATTTTACGCACTCTAAGTGATCCTATTGATTCGGTATTATTGGATGTAGCATTAGATTATTTGATGGACGATTTAGAAATTGGTACATTCGAAAAATTGTTCCCTGGACCAGTCATGGACGTTGACCGAGGTGTAAATGGTGTTCTCATGACCGTGTTACTAACTAAAGAAAGGCACTCTTTTGATGAGGATTTAGGCAAAATATTTATTGAAGTATTGAACTCTTTGATTCATGACAGAAGAGTTGAAAAAAATTTTGATAAGGTTTTATATCATTATTTAATCCTAGTTTTATTCCATTATTTAATCCTAGGTTTATCTATTTCCTCATATTTATTTTAATCTTTATTTTAATTTTATAATTTATTATCTTAGAGAATATACGATTCGTATTTCTCATTGATAGTTCGCATATTTAATTTGATCCGTGATTTAATTCATCTAAATGAGATTTATGAAGACTTTCATTCGCCTACTGTATGCCCTCTACTTTCAGGCTCAATCAAATATATGAAAATCAAATACATTGAGACTCTAACAGATCTCGAAAAAGCCCTTACTGATATAGGGTTTGATAAATTTGAAGGCATGTTATATTATTATATTATTATATTACTATATTTTTGTTTATGAATTTTTAATAATTCTCTTGAATTTTCATTACAGATCGACTTCAAGAACTTACTATGATGGTACGCGAGATAGATCGTAACTTAGAGAGCGCATATAAAAATTTACAAAATGATATAGAGAAATGGAAGAAACGTAAAAACATGGCAAATTGCTTTTACATTTTATCAATGTACATATGATATTTATATAAAATTTTTGTTGTTATTTAACAGTTATAAAAATATAATATCTGACAAAATTTTAATTTACCATGTAGCCTTATAGCTATAGCTTTTCCTTCAATTTATCATTATTATCTACAAACTGATAATCCTCCTTTTGGATTTGTAACGGTAACTATTTACAACGTTAGTTATTTGTCAGGAAAATAATTTAAAAAAAAAAAACTAATTGGCTCTTTTTTTGTAAACAGACAGTAATTGGTTGTGTTATAAGTCTATTATTTGCACTTTGGCACGGCTGGTCACGTAACAGTTATAGCAAAGCGATACAATCCCACAGAAAAGCAATACCTGTTCATGGGGCAGTGGCAAATAGTATAGAATCATTACAAAGATGGTTAAATAGAATTTCTGTTGTGAAAAAAATGTAAAGTACCAATGAATAATAATGAGTTAGCAGATAGAAAAATTACCTTGGTTTATTTATTTGATGAGCTGGTATCCGCAGCTGCTGATATGAGATTGAGTATTGGAT